AGTTTACAAGCCAACTAATGGGTGAATATCTTGTGTTTCTTTGAAAAGTCAAATTAGCACAAGATGGAGTCAACTACATTTTTTTGCTGCATTCACCACAAATTAATTAAAGCAACCTCTGTGGGATCCAGCAATACAAAGCCACAGTCTAAATTAGGCCTCAAATTTAGTTAATGACACCAATGTTATCTCTAACTCCAGCTGATATTTGGAGCACCATAACAAGGCTAACACATATGAGAAACAGGACAAGATAGTAATAAATAAATATATATTATGGGTTATTTTTAAGAACACAAGATTGAATTCTAATGGTCTTATCTTAAGCTGGCCATAGATGGTTTGTAACTCAGCTGATTAAGCAGGGACCAGCCAAAATTTGATCCAGGTAAGGGCAGGCTGTTTGTACCCAAGTTGATTCATCAATTGACTTGGGTACAACCAGCATGTCGGGTTTTTAGACAGCAATTACTGCTAGTGCCTATAGCTGCTAGCAATAATCACAGTTTTCTCTCTGCAGGGACTGCTCCCCTTGGGAAGAACACAATAGCTCTATGGGGGGGGGGGGGGGGGGGATTCCCCTGCCAACACTGAATATATTGATGGAGGAATTGAACAATTTTCTTTCCTGCACTCCATGGTTCCACATAAGAAAATTGCATCATCTATGCCCTGCCTTACCCTCATTGACCATTTGGATTTTGTCAAGGATGTACATTTTTTGTGAAAAATATAAGGTTGTTTTTGCTAAAATGGGAAGGCCAAATGGAGAATTTGGAAGAAAAAAACATGAGTAATCACTATAAAAGTGGAGGAGGCACAACAAAGTTGCTAAATGCACGTTAGCTTAGTCTGAGCTCTGCCATAAATTGCCCTCAGAAACCCCACAATGCAATGCAGAACCCATGATGCATTTCACTGTGAATTTTTTCTGTCCCAGTGAAAATGGCCTGTACAGACCAGCTATACAGCTCAAACTTATATTACCTCACTGCTACAATAATCTCAGATGCAGAACCAAAGCTTACTCAAAGTGTTGCTAAACCCACAACAGTAAAATCAGGCTGTATATGCAGTAAAGCATGCTTGTTATACTCACTGTGGAACCTAAGGGGTTAAGCCTCTGCATTGTGTAAAAATGCTGTTTGATCTTGTCTTATCTGATCCTCCCCTTCTTCCAGTGTCCCCCTCTTATCTCCTAATAAGACATATCGTGTGGAGTCACTCTGCACATGCTCAGTTTGGTGTGTATTTTTTCTTGGGAGAGTGCATGTGATCAGCACAGGGTCAATCAGCACTGTCCAGACAGAGGCCAGGAGTTCTGCATTCTCCTGGATCAAAATGAAAACTCCTCCTACAAGCTTTAACCAGTGCTCGGCTGGACACTGATAGAAGTCACAAGACTGATCTAACTGCTGATGAGAAAAAGTATTTAGCAGATTATATTTACTAAAATAATTGCACTTGCATGTTCTGTGTACTGTGGGAGACCAGATATAGTGAATGCAGGGTCCTGGGTTTAGTAACACTTTAAGGGCAACTTTACTTTAAAAATTTATTTTACTCTAAAGTGATACTAAACACACACTGTTCAATGTACATTATCCCTTCTTTTACTTTATATGGATGATGGCACTGTACTTATTTTAATAAAAAAAAATCTAAGTACCTTTTTCCTAATCAATGTACAGCTGTCACATGACCCAGTTCTTTCCTAGCCTGTCTGCAGAGAAATGTAAACAGAGGGAGCTTCTAGTCCTCTGCTGCTGGTCACATGTTCAAAATAAAAAAAGCCTTTGGGATACAGACTACAAATAAACAATTAATATCAAAAAACTGTTTTAAATCATCATATCATTTATATGTAAAATTAAATCTTTATTATTTTTTGCCGATAACATGGTGTACGTGGATTTCTACCAGTCACAGGCTTTGTCAAACCCCTCCAGCCTGTGTCTTAAAATAACAGAGAGGCGAAGCCTCCATCAATCAAGATGTAATACCCAACCCCCATTGTGTTTAGCTGGTTAGTGGGAATGGAGGAGGAGGGAGGAAGTGGGTTGTCATTTATTACTGTGTATATGCCCACATGTGTGACTCTATAGTCAGAAAGGCTTCTCAGATGTGATAGGCAGGAAAAGCTCAGCATAAAAACTAATTGAAAACTGAGCATGTGCAGTAGCTGCCAACACTGCTTTACAAAATCTCTGACTGAATTGGGGACAGAAAGGGGAAAACAGAGAACAGCAGGATCAACCAGGTGTTTTGCAGAATACAGAAAACGAATCCCATAGTGAATGAGTGAGTATGAACAGCATGTAATGAAGCATTTATTGATTTTTTTTATGATGTGAGTTTAGTGACACTTTAACTATGGAATATATTCACTTCAGAACTGAATCTCTCACTAATTAAAGTACATAAATCCCATAGCATTTCCTGTAGCTGACTTCCCTCTAGTGCTACATTCCCCAGCATGTTGGCCTTTTGGGTAGCTAAGACAAAGCAGCATGTCTTCTGTTCCCTGGAGTTTAACTTCAAACACATCTCTCTGTTCATGTTAACTAGTGAGATTAAAGAAATTGCTGAGATGGTTTTATATATATACAGTATATATATAATTATTGTAATTTTTTTGTAATGAAAGTCATGTTTTACCTCCAGATTCCTTGACATGATTAATTGTGTTTATGCTTTCTGTACGTTTCGCATTACATATATGCCCTTAATGTCCTAACAAGTACTGTGACAGGCCAGTCCCTGTCAACGAAGCATACAAATCAGCTGTCTTCACAAAAGCGCAGAGGTTTGTATGACTATATTTAACACAAGGACCCCTGCCAAATGAAGAGGTGGCAGCATGAGACCAACTGGCATAACACTGCCATGCTGATGGATGATGGTTGTAATGCTAAAAAAAGTGACTAGCAGAGAATCATCTTTAAAACATAGAAAAGCTTCCCAAAGGGACACAGACACAGCTGCAGATCTCAACTGCACTCACAGTAATTCTCCATTCAGTCTATCAGCTGTTACTGCTCAATTACAAACACACAGCCGCACGGTCTTGGTAGACTTCCACTATTTCATTGTTGCCAGATGGTTGTGAATTACCATTACTGTGGAAAAACAACATTAATTAAAAAAAAATACGTTTATCAAGAGCAGTGTTAGTAGACATAAAAGGTCATGGGTTTTTGACTAATTTGAAACCTCCTTTTGTAGCCATATTGGTAACTAAATCGCCTGCATACATGGAGAAATTTGAGACCTCATATTCCTTACTGCTCAAATGACTTGCTGACTGTGTGTTTAAACTGAGGCTTTATCATCTAATAACCTATAAAACCTGCTGGATGACATCAACTTTAAAGTTTTGCTAAATCCACAGCAGTAAAATCAGTCTATGCAGTAAAGCATGCTTGTTATATGCATTGTGGAACCTAAGGGGTTAATCCTCTGCATTGTGTTAAAAGGCTGTTTGATCCTGTCTTCTCTGATCCTCTCCTTCCTTCAGTGCCCCCTTCTTATCTCCTGATAAGACATATCGTGTGGAGTCACTCTGCACATCAATTCGGGGTGTATTACTTGAGAGGTTTTTTTTTCTTCTGCTTCTCTATATCAGGGGTAGGCAACCTTAAAGTGTTACTAAACCCACAATAGTAAAATCAGTCTGTATATGCCGTTAACAATGGAACCTAAGGGGTAAATCCCCTGCATTGTGTAAAAAGGATGTTTGATCCTAACTTCTCTGCCCCACCTCTTGTCGAAATGACCACCTGATACAGACTGAACCCGTAGTCACATGCACATGCTCAGTATGGTGTGTATTGCTAGAGAGGTGTTTTTTTTTTTTTCTTGGGAGGGTTCATGTGATCAGCACAGGGCCAATCAGCACTGTCCAGACAGAGAGTCAGAGGTTTCACATCCTCCTATAGCAGAAAGAAAACTCCTACAAGCTTTAACCAGTGCTCTGCTCACAAGACTCACAAGACAAGGCTGCTCTAACTGCTCATGGGAAAAGGTATTTAGCAGTTTATATTTACTAAAATAATTGCATTTCCATGTTGTGTGTACTGTGGGAGAGTACATGTGATCAGCACAGGGCCAATCAGCACTGTCCAGGCAGAGGGTCTGGTGTTTCACATCCTCCTAGAGCAGAAAGAAAACTCCTCCTACAAGCTTTACCCAGTGCTCTGCTGAAGTCACAAGACTGCTCTAACTGCTGATGAAAAAAGATATTTAGCATTTTATATTTACTGAACAAATTGCATTTCCATGTTTTGTGTACTGTGGGAGACCAGATATAGTGAATGCAGGGTCCTGGGTTTAGTAACACTTTACGCACAATTTTTTTGCTAATCTATGAAGCAAAGATCTGCATAGGTGTAGTTTGTAAGTATGAAACATATGGTAACCCTTTTGAACATCTGATTTTCAAGTTAGATATTCTGTCATTAACCACTTGCCCTCCAGATGATTTACCACCCTTCCTGACCAGGCCATCTTTTGCGATACGGCGCTGCATTACTTTAATTGGCAATTGCGCGGTCATGCAATGCTGTACCCACAAATATAGCTTTCTTTCGGTGGTATGTGATCACCTGTGCGTTTTTTTCTTTTTTGCGCTATAACCAAAAAAAGTTTTACAATTTTGAGAAAATAAATATTTATTTTTGATTTTTTGCTATAAAACATATCCAGTAAAAAAAATTTAAAAATCAACTTTCGTCATAAATTTGGAGCAAAATGTATTCTGCTACATGTCTTTGCTAAAAAAAAATCCCAATACATGGAAATTAATTTGTTTACATGAAAGTTATAGCATCTGCAAATGGCGGTATATATACTGGAATTTTTTTTTATACTAGTAATAGCTGCGATCAGCGACTTATAGCAGGACTGCGGCGGGCATTCTGACACTGGGGGGAACTGACTAACTACCTCTGACATCCCCAGTGACACTAATATAGTGATTAGTACTAATAAAAAGCACTAACGCTGTACTAATGACACTGGGCAGGAAGGGGTTAACATCGGGGGAGATCAAAGGGTTAACTGTGTGCTGTTTTACTATGTGTGCTGTGTGTGATTTACAGTGTTAGCACACTGCTTTGTGTTGCTTTGCATAGCAAAACAAAGCAGCATGCTGGAGCGGACAGGGGAGTGATCTGTATTGTTTACACACCTACAGACCTCTCCCCATCAGTGTTTTACGGTGAATGCCAGGTGCTGGTGGGAAATCTCTGCCCAGGACCCAGTGATTGATAGCCATAGCCGCTAATGGCGGTATGGGTATGATTTTGCACAGCCCTGCCACCCTGTAGCAGTATTTGTGCTATAGGGCGGTGGCAAAGCAGTTAATGACTATCCATATGGTTGTCCTGCACATCAATCTTCCAAAAGGTTAAAGGATAAGTTCACCTTTTACCCAAACAAATTATAAATGCACTTTTTTGCAGGTAAAAAAGAAAAGCGTTTTTACTATTATTTGTTTTCAGAGCCCAGATTGCTGGTGCCATGCAGATCTCCTGCAGACCTGCCAGTATATCTGTGTGCTCATATCTTGTACAGGCAAGCAGATACACGCTGACAGGAAGAATCAATGAACTACCACAGCGCTCAACAGTACTATGGTAGTTAATTGAGAACTACACGCCGACAGCTGCAAAGGTTGTTGGAACTTGCAGTTTTCCCATTTAGAGCCTACTGTGAATGTGTAATGCAACCAGGCGAGCATGACCACGTTTTTTTAAAATTGTGACAGCTAGCAGGGGGAGAAGATTCCCTGCTAGATGTCAAAATTGGGGATGGGGGGAGCGGGGGCAGGTTCTTCCAGAGTAAGGGTGTAACATGTAACATGTTACAAAAGTTGAACTTATCCTTTAAAAAACTTACACGGCCTAAGCCCCTATTAAGGGAGATGCAGATACTGGCCGAATATCATCTGGAGATTATTAATACTGGACTTTGGACTGGTGGATTAGAGGATCAGAGTCTCACACTATAATTTTCATATTATGCACTCATTCTTCTAAAACAATTATTTTATTATACATATTGTGAGCCATTGACACTAAATCTGTCTTCTAATCCAGAGTGTAATTTTAACTTAATGCCTCTTGCTTCTATGTTAACCACTTCAGTACTAGTCTTCAATGCCCTTCCATTTCCAGACCATTTCAGTGATATGATAGTTTGATTGACAATTAGGGGTTTATTTACTAAAGCTGGAGAGTCCAAAATCAGACTCCCTTCTGCATAGAAACCAATCAGCTTCTAACCTCAGCTTGTTCAATGAAGCTTTGGCAATGAAACCTGGAAGCTGATTGGTTTCTATGCAGAAGGGAGTCTGATTTTGGACTCTCCAGCTTTAGTAAATAAACCCCTTACTGTCATGCAGAGCTTAATTTTAATGGTATATAATTACACTCTGTATTTTTATTTATTATTTTAAATGCCAATAAAAGCCCAATTTCCATCACTTTCTGGTATAAACATATTAAAGAAAAAGAAAACCCCGTCAATTTTTCATTTTTGGACAGTACACAACCCTAATAGACAACAGGATTTCATTATTTGCACTATTTCATTCAGTGCACTAAAGTGTACTGTACATCTTTTCCTGATGAAGTGACCACCAAAAAGCCACAAAATGCGTTGATGGTGGTTTAACTTGTTTTCATGATCAATAAATATCAACCTTCCTGAAGAATCCACTTGGAAGCACCTTTTTATTGAATGGGCAACTCTGCTGACTACATCTGCCTTATTATATCTACCATTGTTCACAGAATCTGATCGCAATCTACTATGGTGCAAGAATTTCCAGAAAACCCTTACGAGCATCGAATACGACCATCCACAATCTGCACGGAGACAGTCATATTCTCTACATGTACTAAAATAGGTTGCTTGACTCCAGGGTGGGTATCCAGTAACCTCATGAATGTGAGTATAGGCTTGCTACACTTTTTGACCTACTTTTCCCACACATTCAACTGATTACCACGCTTAAAAAAATCCATCTTGTGGCTATCAATCCCCCTTTTTTCTCTTCCTCTTTGTTTCTGCTCATCTGGAGCACCATTGATCTATTCCCCCAAAAGTGACATTTTTGTTGCAGAGGATGCCAAAAAGTTGACTTGTATCTTAGTGCAGACTTCTGGGAAAATCAGTGAGCCAATCACACAAAAAATAAATGACCTTTCTGGAGGCATTCTATACACCAGAGGTTTACAGTACATCTCCATGATGCCATATCCCATTGCATTTAACAGAAAATTACAGCTCTGCAAGTTAAAATGGAAAGGTAATTTTTAATAGCAATAAATTACAATATGACTTATTCAGCAATTGTCTATGCTATATTTTTTAATTGCTATATTTTTAAGTGGAGTTACCCTTTAAAATAATACTAGGTGATTACCTAAATATTCTTTTTCAGGCACTTTCTGTTATGGGGTGACAACAGTATCTCATTTGTGCTCCTGCATTGTCACCCTACATGTTTCCTAGGTTGAAACTACAGCCAGCCTGTGCCAACAACCATTGTGCAGGTATTATTCACTGTTGTCACTATCAAGACCCTTGTCACAATGAATTATTTTAAGCTGATACTGGAGTGCATGCATGTAGACAAAAAGTGGAAGCAGCTTTTAGAAAACAAGGTGAAAAAAAGATTCACTCCGAATACGTCCCATCCTTAATCAATATAATCTCTACATCAGTCTGATGGAGGAGGGAACAATCTTCCACATGTGGTGCACATGCCCTCCTCTTACTAACTTTTGGACAAAAGTCAATGACAGTATCTGGTAAGAATCTGGTTGGACCCTGAAGTTCACCCCAGCCCAGTATTTGCTACATCACAGTATACTCCCAGGGCGACAATACAGGAAAAGACATGATTAATGCTTCTAGACTATGCATACACTGGCTAGACACATAACCACCTAACCTTAGGGAATGGTTTATGAGACTTAACAAAAATGCTGAGATGGAAAAATGTATGCACATTGCACAGACTATATTGAACCAATTTAATAGGAAGAAGGGTCAGCCACACACCAGAGGATAGATGAATATAGTGTATATTTATTGATCCATAGGACACACAAAACACCAGGACATGAATACAGGACCTGTTAACGTGTTTCACATGATCTTGTGTTTAATCATAACCATGGTTTTGATTAAGCACAAGATTGTGTGAAACATGTTAATAGGTCCTGTATTCATGTCCTGGTGTTTTGTGTGTCCTATGGATCAATAAATATATCATGATATTCATCTATCCTCCAGTGTGCGGCTGACCCTTCTTCCTATTGCTTCGTGTGTGGTGGTGAGCCAGAGCCTGCACCTGTTGTGGATTGATCTGGATTGTTTGCCTGAACGGTACACCATTTGTTCTTTAGATTGAACCAATTTACCAAGACTTGGGCCTGCTGACTTCATTACAAAACTACAACAACATACAAGCCAACCTTGTCATCTATGTAATCACATGAAGGAAATGGCCTAGGAGATAGAACCAAACTAAATGGCATTGCTAATTCTTATAAAACAGACTGATGAGAATAACCCTATTTTACACACCAGGACCCAATTATTGTTGGCCTGGTCTCTTGATTACTAGTCATCTGCATACTAGACCTCAACACAGGCCCCTCTTCCCACTGTATCTATCTTACCTTCCCTATCCTATCTAACTCTCTGCTCCCCCCATCTTTTCCCTTTACTCCCATCCCCCTCTTTTTTCTCTCCTTCTTCTTCCTCTCTATCTCTTCCTCTTCTGTTTCTCTCCCCCCTTTCTTTCTCTTGTGTTTCCTTGTCCGCTTCTGATAGGTCTCCCTGCATAGGTTTCAAAGTGGGTTCTTTGTAATTCCTCCTCTAAAGCACCAATGTATCTTGCCCACAATTGACTTTAAAATTATTGGGCTAAGCAGATGCTGCTATCATGGGCATAGGTCAATAAATAAAAAAGACAGTTCTAACAGAAGAAAAGGAAATAAGGAGCTTGAAGGTGTGCTATAATCATACCAAGACCATTCCTTCCACTTTTATTAGATTAATTTACTATCTGTTTTTTATGCATTGAACTTTAGACTGTCTTCTTTTGCCTATAGACTCACCTTGCAGCTACTCTCTATGTAATGTTTCTGTTACTAGGATATGGCATACCACCCTCATGTGAATTATTTACATGGTGTTTCTTTTAAAACTGTTTTCACCTTTTTCCATAATGTTTTTATCAGTGTTTATGGAAAAATAAAACATAACCATTGCTTACAATACAAAATGCTTCATTAAATGAATTGTCACTCCATTAGATCAATTTTAACTAACAGTTATTTTTTCACTGATCACACAAAAGTACCATTTCTAATGGATAAAAAATAAGCAAATGAAAGCAGAGTTTGGTCACTGTTGCCACTGTGGAGATCAGTGCATTTCTGGATGAAATTTTCTGAGTGTTTTGATTGTGTTACCCTTCCGCTTTCATTTGTTCTAACCTTTGTGAATATATCAGAAGACTGCAAACTCTTTTTATTAGAAATACTATGATAAGTTAATACTAAAATTCTTTACTATTCATAACTGATCACTATTAGTGGATAATCTGTATTCTACATACATGGCTTTATGATTCCTACAATGAGGAAAAGCCATAACAACATGAATGAACAGTAGAGGGCCAAAATTGAGACATCGTATCTTTAAAGATTCTTAAAAGATGCACAACAAATATCAAAACTTTCTAAGCTCCTATCAACTCAGATCAAAAGCAGACATCTACTGAATAAATCCTCTGAAATATTTACCAGCCATGATAATAACTCTATAGGCAGAACGTGAGGTTCTGTAGAAATACAAATTTAAGTCCAAAGTCTGCATCCAACTTTATAGAAATGTAATTGCCAAAATAAATCACATATATAAAATAAAGGATTTCAAATGTATATATCTTCCTTAGACTGGGATAATTTTTTAGATATGGCATATATTCCAAAGTGTGGACAAACCTTATTTGAATCATTTAACATGACCATGTATGTCATACAGCGCTGTTTTCAGAAAGGACATTTGATGCAGTCTAGATTCGAACTAGGTTAAAGATCATCTGTAAAAGCTCATATGTCTCACTTCAACTTTGTTGACTTTTCCTGTTACATTGAACTCTGGTTCTATTACTTGATTTGATGAGACAATACCTAGTAAAAAGAGCCATGTTCTTTATAAATT